CCCCCACCAACCATGCCCCCCCCCGCCCCCAGCCGGGGTGCCTCTCACCCCCGGCGCCCCTGCCCTGCCTCGCCCCCGGGGCCCGGCTGGGACGCGTGGTTCGGAGCCGGCGTCGGGTTCTGTCCGGTCGGGAGCAGAGTCGCTCGCACAACCCGGGACAGCCCAGGCCGCGCGTGCGCTCCGGGCTGCAGGCTCTGGCCCTTCCGACCCCTCTGTCCCCGCCGCACAGGCTAACCGGCTGGAGAAGGCGGCAGCCGCGGCCTACACCTTCCTCCAGAGGAACCCGAAGCACGAGCTAACCGCCAAGTATCTCAGCTACTACCGGGGGCTGCTAGACGCCGCCGACGAGCCGCTCACAGACTTGGAGGCGCAGCCCTACGAGGTGGGGTGGAGGGGTAGGGCAGGCCCTGAGGCTTGTAGAGGAGGGGAGGTGTTGGGGCGTCTCCCTGACCCCTACCTGCTCCCCTCCAGGCCGTGTTCCTCAGGGCTGTGAAGCTCTACAACAGCGGGGACTTCCGCAGCAGCACGGAGGACATGGAGCGCGCCCTGGCCGAGTACCTGGCCGTCTTTGCCCGGTGTCTGGCCGGCTGCGAGGGGGCCCACGAGCAGGTGGACTTCAAGGACTTCTACCCGGCCATAGCAGGTATTCCCCGGTCCCTGCAGACCCATGTGGACGTCCCTCTCACCCACAGGGCCCTGCTTCCCAGAACGCCTAAGGCCCCTTAACACAAGTATGCCTCCCGTACACTTTGATGAAGCATGGAGGAAGTTCTTGGGTGGTGGACCGGAGTAAGGTGTTAACCCGCTCCGGGAGCCTTCAGTCCTCTGAGAGGGACAGGCCGCGGTGCTGACTGGCCAAGGTGTGGGCAAGAAGGGTACAGAGAGGTGGTGACATCCCCAAAGGGTCTGGGGACATTGGGTTCACAGGCCTTCCAGGCAGAGGGCAAAGGTGCCAAGGTGGTGTGTGCAGAAGGCAGTTTGTGGCCAGAAATCACACCTAGTCTGGGGATCCCTAACTGTGGGGTCCCTCAGCAGGGGGGGCACAGAGGACTGTCCTGAGCTTCTCTATCTAGGCTTCAGTCCCACCTCCAAACCTCATCTGCCTCAGAATGCCCCGGCTCCCTCGGGTTTTGGGGTGGGGGTTGAGTCGAGGCTGCCCCGGCCCGGTCGTCCTTAGCACTGCCCTTAGTATGCTGAGCGCAGTCTTCACCAGCATTACCTCCTGTGACCGCACAGGCTGGCTGGGCACCAGCTCCTCACCACTGCCTCCCACCCCCTAGATCTCTTTGCAGAGTCCCTGCAGTGCAAGGTGGACTGTGAGGCCAACTTGACCCCCAACGTGGGTGGCTATTTCGTGGAGAAGTTCGTGGCTACCATGTATCACTACCTGCAGTTTGCCTACTACAAGTGTGAGCCTCCTAGGGGGCTTGGGATGGGGGGCAGGGGGGAGGGAGAGCACTGTACTGGGAGCGTCAGAGTCGTGGCGAGCCGTTCCTTGGAAGTGAGGACCCTGGATGACGGGAGGGAAGGCTGGGGCTGGCGGGCAGGTGAGAGGGTGGGAAGGAACAGAGAGCAGCCTTAGGAGAATTCAGGGACCTCTTGGGTAAATGACTGGGTAGCCAACAACTGCACAGCGCTTCACAGTTTACACACCCCTGCCACGTCTGTTTATCTCACTTGATGCTTTCACCAGCCCGCCCCCCCCTCCCGGCAGCTGACATGACCGGACCCATTTTTCAGATGAGAAACTGAAGCTCATACAGCGCAATGGGGCCATTAGTCACATGGCTAATGATAAGTAGCACCAGGACTTATGGCTCTTCTTGTCTGTGGGAGACCCTGAGCATCAGCTGGGGCTGGGATGGATGATCTCCAGTGTTCCTGCAATGCTAAGATGCCAAGATTCGTATGGAGGCTGGAGTCGGAGTGGAGGAGCTGAGGACCAAGGAGCCAGGAGACCCTTCATGGGTCCAGTTGGCAGAGCGGTTGAGGGCCAGGCTGCTGGGCTCTCATTCCCCAGTGCCATTATTCTCCAGCTGCGTCAGCTTGAGAAATCTACCTAACCTCTCGGTGCCTTGGGTCTCTTGTCTATAAAATGGGGATGATAATAATGGTGAGGCTTAAATGAATTACATGGGCCTGGCACATGGCAAGTTCCCAGTACATTCTAGCTTGCATTATTATTTGGGTGCGGTGAGGTGGCCAAAAGATCTTATGAGAGGCAGCTGGGGAGCCAGGAGCACTGGACTGAGTTGGGAGATAGGGATGGCCCAGGAAGGCATTGCCCCTGAAGGTGGGGAGGCGCCAGGACTAGTCCTCACTCCTGTCCTGCCCGCAGTGAACGACATGCGCCAGGCCGCCCACAGTGCCGCCAGCTACATGCTCTTCGACCCCGGGGACAGCGTCATGCAGCAGAACCTGGTGTACTACCGCTTCCATCGGGCTCGCTGGGGCCTGGAGGAGGAGGACTTCCAGCCCCGGGAGGTGGGCACTGCCTTTGGAGGCACTCTCGGTTTAATAAAAAAAAATCCTGGCTTCTTTGGAAGGCAGGATGCGAAGGGAAAAGAAAGACTGTGGGTTGTGGTTGGAGTCCTGGGTTCAAAGCCAGCCCCACCGGCTGAATGGGCCTGGAAACATTACTGACCCTTTCTGAATATGTGGTCTCACCTGCAAAATGGGAGTGGTACCACCTCCTGGGACAGCACAGAGCCTGGGCTGTGGGAGGCCCAAAATACCTGTCCATCCCCGCCTGCTCCCTGCCCCACCCTGGTCACTCTCACCGCTCGCCTTTTCCCTTCTTCCCCAGGGACGCCCTAGCTTGGACCAACTAAGGAACCCCTGGGAATCTAGGGCAAGACTGGCAGTCATGGGGCACATGGTGCCACCCTCGATTTCCTTATGTGTGGCAGACATTGCTAATGGATTAGGGAACTCTTTCTAATAGAGCCCTCAGAATCCTCCTTAACCCAGGCACTCCAAGCAGCTGTGATTTTTTTCCACCAGCGTGTGACCTGATACCTGTTCCCTGCTCTTTGAGCTGAAAAAGGGTGGGAGGACCCAGATCCTAACAATGTGGCTCCTCCCCCACCTGGCAGCAGGGTCTGGCTTACCCCACGTTCCTCCCCTCCTCTCAGGAGGCCATGCTCTACCACAACCAGACCACTGAGCTTCGGGAGCTGCTGGAGTTTGCACATATGTACCTGCAGTCAGATGATGAGGTAAGCGACCCCCTGCTCTCTAGGCTGGGCCATGATGGAGACCTCTGATCTTCTTCCGGGGGTCCACTGTGCCAAAGCTCGGCCCCACCTCCTGGCACTCAACTGCTGTGAAGCAGGAGAGATTCACTATCCCTCATCAATACCCGCCCTTCTCTCCCCGCTCAGCGTTCTTGTGCTCCCCTTCTCTACGTGTCTTGCCCAATAACTCTCCAGCCCAGCTCAAGGGGCAGCTCCTCCAGGAAGCCCTCCCTGCATGCCCTGGCTCTGTCTTCTGGGCTTGCAGTGCCAGTTCTGACCCTCTGCCTCCCCGGACCTGGAGTGATTTGCAGCCCTGGTCCCTCTCCCCCCCGCCCAGCCCCCTTCTCTGTCCAGTCTCCCAGAGGGTTGTGCTCTGGGACGGGGGACCAGGTTATTCCCAGCTTTCCCACAGCACCTGCCACAGAGCTGGTGTGGGGAAACGGAGTTTGAATGAACCAGCGAATGAATGAACGCAGGATGCCAGGAAAGAAGGACTACAGTGTGGTACCTTGATTCTGAATGAGGGTTTGAGAGTCTGAATTTCAGTGAGGTGTTGTGCTCAGTGCTAATTTATTCATTACCCCCTTCGTTCACTCACCCATGCCCCTACTTGTCACATATGGGGGCAGGGGGTACACCATTTGCACCCTGGCTTTGGCAACAGCCTGACTTGGCCTCGCCACTTACCGGGTGGGCAGCCTCCAGGCAAGTCTTAGGTAGCTCTCGAACTTCCGTTCCTGCATCTCGAATTCGGAGGATGATGCCCACGTCACACCATTGTGGTGGCAATGAAATGAGATCGAGTATGGAAAGCACTTAGTACAGATGCTCAGTGAATGGTGCCGTTTTGATTACTGTTATTCATGGCCTGCTGTTTGCCAGACACTGTGGGGGCCTGGGGCAAGTTGATGAAAGGCAGAGTCCTTTTTCCAAGCAGCTCACAGTCTAGTGGGGAAGGCACGTGCTCAGGAGAGGTCAGCCCGGGCCAGCAGAGGAGGGCTCTAGGTCCAACCGGGCTCATCGGCCAGGGTCGCATCCTGGAGCTGACGCCTGGCATCGGTGAGGTCAAAAAGAGCGGTCCAGGCATTACCCAGGCACGGGGTGGTGCGGGGGGAGGTAATCATGTTCCTGGCCAGGAAACTGCATGAGCACACACTACGTGAACTAGCAGCATTTGCTATGGAATTCATACTTGGCGAGGGAACGCTTAGCTGACATTCACTCTCTGCTGGGGGAGCATCGGCCCTGGGAGCGGCAGTTTGGGAGTGGGACCTTGTGGGAGTAACCCTCAGATCAGTCCCTGGTGGGATCTTGAGACTGGGGAAGGAGGGGCTTTGGGGGCTGAGATGGGATGGGGGGGCTCATCCAGGAAGGGAGCCCGTCTGGGTTTGCACGTGCTGTGACCTCATTTCCCTCCCCACCCTGGGGCTGCTCTAGATGGAGCTTGAAGAGACAGTGCCTCCCGTGGAGCCCAAGGACCCGCCCTCCGACACCGAGTTCGAGGGGGAGGGGGACTACGAGGAGGGCATCTATGCTGACTGGTGGCAGGAGCCGGATGCCAAGGGTGACGAGGCAGAGGCCGGTCAGTGACTCCAGTGCTGGAGGGCGGGGCTGCCACCCTGGGTGGAGGTTGGCCACAGAAGGATCCTTGTACTGCACGGCAGAGGCAGTTGGGGTGTGGGGACCTCTCCTCTGGGGGCTTCTAGCCTGTTAGCCAACCCTGTCCCACCTTGTGTGTGAGGGGGTGGCATCCTCTCTGGAGCTGGGACCCCGCTGAGACCTGCCCCAGGGAGCCTCCTTCCTGCCTGCCCCTATGCCCCCAGGACAGCGCCCAGATGCTTGTTGGGAGCGGGTGCGGAGCTAACCCGGAGCTCCCTCCTTTCCCTTCCAGAGCTGGAGCCTGAACTAGCATGAGAGGGCCACCCTTGCACCCCTCAAGAGCTGGGGAAGCCTGAGCCCAGTGGTACCGCCCTCACCAGCCTGTGCAGCAGCAAGAACTATTTATTAAAAATGTACAACGGACATAGCTGACCAGGCCCCATCCCATCCCACCTGTGAGCGCTGCTCCCCAGGTCTCAGGGTCTCTGGGCCACAGGATGGTGGTGCTCCAGCTGCTGACGGCCCCCTCCTCCCCGGTGCTCTCCTCAGCTGGGCAGTCTCCTGGAGGAGAAGGTTCCTGCTCCTCCAAGCTGGGTCTCAGCCTGGATTTCAGAGACAGCAGAGGGGCCGCTGATGTTATGAAGAGCACTCGAGAGTCCAGTGGTTCCTGGCTCACTGGCAGTGGGTGCTCAATAAATGTTTCCTGTCGAATGAATTGCAGTACCTGGGGTCTGGTCTCCCCTGGGCTGAGGGTGCGGGTCGTTCCCTCCCTCCGCGTCCATCTCCCCTCCTGTGTAAATGTGGGGTGGGCAAGGGGGCACAGTTTGGCCTCAGGAGATCTGGGCGGGTTTTTTTTAGAGCAGAGGGCAGTTGCAGATCCGCCCGCCAGGGGGCGTGAGCACGCAGTTCCTTCTGCAGCCGCTGGAAGGCGGTTTCAGATTTCTAAGATGGGATGTCCTATATTTTCCTGGTTCAGCATTGCTTCCCTCGGGGAGTGTGGTGAGCATGCGGAGGGGGCTAAGGATATTTCCGGTTGTTACTTTCTAGGCATTTCCTGAGCCAGGTTCTCGAGGGGCTGAGCAAGCATTCCCTGCCCTGCTCTCTGCCCCTTCTCCCATTCTTCGGCAGAGGTTGGGGCTCCATCTCAGCAGCCAGAGGGGCCCTAGGCATACAGTTTGATAACATGAGACCTCGTGGTGGCAGTGGGACTGCCAGATCCTCCTGCCCAGTCTTCCATCAGCTCTAGGGGGCAGAGAGTCTGAAGGTGCAGAGGTGAGGGTAATGCCAGGTGGCTACTGTTCAGTGCCGTGATGCACCCGTGTCCTCCCCCGTGTTCCACGGGGGGAGTGGGGGGGACTCTCTGGAGAGGGACCCTGGGCCAGGACGAGGCAGGTAACAGTTCTGCCCGACTCCCCAGGTTTCAGGCCTCCCAGGGGGCAGGGTGGTGTAGGAGGCTTCTCTTCCTATCCGAGGGTGGAGCGGATGCTGGGACGCCCGCACCCCAGCCCTCCCCACAGACGTGCCAGGTGACCTGGCCTGGGCCCTCCCCCTCTCTGTGCCCAGGAGGACTCTCTGCCTCACCCCAAACCCCTCCCCTGGGTCTCTGGTGGGGACGAGGACAGGGAGGCCAGAGTCAGTCTGCAGCAGGGCTGGGTCAAGGCTGAGGGCACCGGTGACCTCATTCCCTCTCTCCCATAGGTGGGTCCGCAGCGGTAGCGTCTCGCAGGTGCCAGGGCCCCACCCCACCCCACCCCTTCCTAGCTGCTGTGTTGTCAGCTTCCACTGACGCCCCGCCCCGTTTCTGGGAGGGGCTGGGGAGCTGGGATGTGCCCGAGCGTGCCTGCTGTGAGTAGGAGCTTTGGAATCTGGACAGCTGGGTGTGAGTCTGACAGGGTGTGTGTGCAGGAGCAAGAAGGTCTGTGTGCGTGTGTCGGAGAATGTCTGTGGCAGTTGCACGGGTGGCCGAGCATGGTTCTGCACGTGGCTCCATGACTGCGCAGGCCTTCGTGAATGTGTTTCTGGAGGGGTTCGCTCATTCAGCACGTATTTATTGAGCACCTAGTATGTGCTAAGCGCACTGTAGGTGCGGGCATACAATAGTGGGCAAAGCAGGCCAAGCACCTGCCTTCGTGGAGCTTGCGTCCCAGCAGAGAGACCTCCAATAAACAATAAATGTTGTTTTTTTTAAGAGGATTTTATTTATTTATTAGAGAGAGCACAGGAGCAGTGGGGAGGGGCAGAGGGAGAGGGAGAAGCAGACTCCCCGCTGAGCAGGGAGCCCGATGTGGCTCGATCCCAGAACCCTGGGATCATGACCTGAGCCGAAGGCAGATGCTTAACTGACTGAGCCACCTAGGTGCCCCGACAATAAATGTTATAATAAATTATATGGTTAGTCTGATAAATCAGACAGAAAAATAGAGCTGGGGAGGAGGGACGGGGAGAGCTGAGGGGATGCCATTTCAGAAGCGTGTGGTGTGTGTCTAAGTGTGCAGCTGAGAGTGGCATCTCTGGGTGTGTGTGTGAGGGGGGGTATCCCCCGGGGGCGGAACACCAGCCCCGGCCTGGGCCCTCTCCCCACGGGCAGGCCCTCGCCCAGGCCCTGCAGCCCCGTGTCCCTTACTCAGCTCTCCTCTTCTAGGCAGCCACCACCACCCTCCCCCCTCCCTGATACCAGCGTCTCCCCAGTGCCAGGCCAGGTCCCCAAACCGGTGAGACCGAGTCCCAGCGTGGGCCCTCCAGCCCATTCTCCCAACCCCACCCACTGCAGACACCCTTGCCTCCTCCACTTCTGTCTCACCTGGTCCCTCCGTACCCCGCCCCCCAACCCCACCCAGCACCTCATCAGTCATAGCATCTGTAGGATAATGGGTAGAAGGTTAGGGAAGGCCTAAAGACTGGGGATGGCAACCTCACACAATGGGGCCAGGCTCAGAAGCCACAGAGATGCCCGGACCCAGAAAGACCCCATCCTGAAGCAAGCTTCACTACTACAGTGTACTGAGTACCTACTACAGTATACCGAGTACCTACCACACGCTGGGCACTTGGTCTTAAACATTCTTGTGACATAGGCCTCAGTTGCCTTCTGCTCCAGGTGAGGCTGAGGAATGAGAAGCAACTTGTCCCAGGTTCCTCACATTGAGTGGTGACTGAGCTGGGTTTGAAACTCTTCTCCCCCAGATCGATGCTGCTCAGAGAAAGGAGAGAAAGGTGCTGGCTTTGGGGCTAGATGTGTGGACAGAGCCCCCACATTGCCGCAGCCTACTGAGGGAGGCAAAGAGTTCTAGAAGGGAGGGAGGCGGGGCGCCTGGGTGGCTCGGTCGTTAAGCGTCTGCCTTCGGCTCGGGTCATGCTCCCAGGGTCC